CGGCGGTCGGCTAAGCGCGGCTCCACGCCCGCGGCCAGATGCGCGCGTCGCCCCCTCCGCCGTGATGTCATGGCTTTGGGCCGCGCGGCCGGCGCCTCCCTTCTTCTCGTCAGTGCAATGACCCAAACCGAGGCGTGACGGGGAAGGGAGGTGGAAACGGGCCTTTCCCAAAACTCTTTGCGCTAAGTCGGACTCGAGAGCGGAACGCCGGCGGCTCCGAACGATAACTGACTCACCGCGAGCTATCTGCGAGCGGACGGGCATCCAAAGTGTCTTGTCGAGTTCAACGTCGACCTGGCTGGCGTTTCCCAAGTGGCGGGTGTATTCTGGGCGTCACCTACGTAAATCGTCTGACATCATAGTGACGGGACATGCCGGTGTTGACGCCAATTGTTGCCGTTTGTACCCCCCCCCCCAAAAAAAGAATCGGGCTCCCTAGCAAATTCTGGCAGCTGAAGGCATCCTGTGGAAAAAGGCTTTCGTGGCCCCTCGCCGATTGATTCATGAAGCCAGCGCGAGAAATCCCTCAAAACAAGTCACCGCCCCGAATGCTTGTTGTGATTTTCCTGTCAAGAGGTTTTGGTGTGGCCCGGGGGGGGGGGAGCAAAGTCGTCGGAATGAGTGATAAAGTGGCAGTGAAATGGGTGATCCAGAACAATCCTGAAGACTGCGGTCATGTGAGGGCCTCGAGTAGGCCGCAAACAGACGAGCTGTTGTCATCGTTGGATCAGTCGGGGGGGACACGAGGCCGTTTGTCACCGCTGAGTACAAGCGGGTACAAAACTGTGATGTTTGGATGCATAGATATTGCCGTGTGGCATTTTGGATTTTGTTTTTACATAGCACCAAGCGGTAACCGCGGCTGCTCATGTTTGAAGCCTTGCTTGCACTAATGGCGAATCGTTTCGACAGCACTCCCGTTTGTTTGTTTGTTTGTTTGTTTGGATGTGAAAGTTTGGAAAGGAAACGCTCCCTTTTTCATTTGGCATGAAATCACAACGTATGCTCCAGAGGGCCGCGCGGAGGCCTGGAAACGTTGTCATTTTCAACTCTGTCCTCACTCGGCAGGGTTACAACAAAAAAAAAAATGCTGGAGGAACTCGGCACGTCTCTCTGTAGCGGCGGCGCGGTGGGGAAACCCTCATCGTGACTTGCAACTCTGACCCTTGCTCAAAACTCGAATTGGATAGGCCATTCTATGCTCCAAAACCTCACTGGAAACCTTAACCCCGACTTCCAAATCCTCAATTCAAACTGGACCCCTCATTTGAAACCTCACCCTTCAAATGAAACCCTTATTTGATACCCTACTCCTGATTTTAAAGTCAAATTTGGAACCCTGACCCGAACTCAAAACATGACCTCTGATTTGAAACCCTTGTTGAGACCCTCACCCCGGCTTGAAAGTCTCATTGGAAACCCCGACCCGTTTTTGATCACCCGACCGTGGCCCGAAACCCTAACCGACTGATTGAAACTCTTACCTGGGCTCCAAAGCTTGACGCTAATTTCAAAACCCTCACCTCGACTTGAAGCCCTACCCCTGATTTGAAATCCTACTTTGACACCAGAACCTGTTTGAAACCCTAACCCTGACTTTCCACCCCAATTCAAAACCCTATCCCGTACTTCAAAACCCTCCCCATTGTTGGAAAGCCTCTCTGAGCTTGCAACCTTTGCCCTAGTTTGAAACTCTGTCCGTCGCCATTTAAAATCGAATCGCTGATGGGGGCAATTCAATTGCAGCCTGTTAGGAGATGTCGAAATACAAAAGAAAAAAAACTGACCACGTTTGTTTTTTTTCTTCAATTTCTCTTGGACGGGCCGATGGAGTGTTTCTGAAGCTGTTTTGTTTTTGGTGCGCGATTCCTCGTCTCCTCACGCCGCCCTCGAAAACGTGCTCTTACGCCTCCGGGTCCCGTCCCGCGGGGAGGCCCCGGCAAATGAATTTGATCAAACGACCGCTTTGATTTCGCGGGTCAACGCGTTCATAAACGGAGAGACGAGGACCCTCCGCTCAAGCGTCTCTTGCCATCGGGGAGCAGAAGAAACAAACGTGGATATCAAAGTCCTCTTCAAGTCAAAGGGCGGCGGGGAGAAGAAAGGGGAAATGCCAATCGACGGGCGCCACGCACGGCGTGTAAGATCTACAACGTTGCAACAATTTGGACATGATTCGAGATATGAGCGCATGTCGTCGGCGGGCGGACTTGGATGAGCCCAAAAAATGCACTCAAGTAAGACTGCTGTACATTTCCAATGATATGACGCCAGTAAAAGTAAAACGTAGTCTTTCACACATTTACTCGCGTATGAGCCGGTTGTTGAAAAAAAGTTTTGCCAAAGCGGAGACTAACTTTTGACTTTTGTTGAAAAATCAAAGCATAATGCCTCCGCGCAGTCACGTGACTGGCTGGCTTTGGTCGACCGCAGTCAAACATCGCCGCTCGTTCCTTTGGCTCGGTGAAACGACAGTCACGCGATAGCGCTCGAGTTGCTCTGTCGAGCCAAATCAAAATCGATGGTGCCGGCAAATAGAGTCGTGAAAATAAACGGAGGTCTTTTTCACAAAAAGTCAACGTCTGTTGCAGTTATGCGATCCAATTTATCCCCAAAACCTTTGCCCGTACACGGGGCTCATCTCATTTCTCCATTTGAAAACTTCCCAATTCCCGCCTCCGCCGTTTACACGCTGGCGCCTCCCGCCAAGTCATCAATCGAGGAGGCGAGCGAGTGGGGAAATTAGACGGAATAGTTATCAAACTCATGATGTGGAAAGGATCATTTCCCCGAGCACGCGTGACAATCTCTCACTGCACATTCCTGCTTGGTGTTGAACCATAAAAGGTTCTTGCGCACCCCGTTCAAATTGGAGAGAATCTGAGCAGAGTGGCCAAAATGTGGCGCGCTTTTTCCAGCCAGCCTTTTTCCTCAAGCGGCGAGGTGAGGCGCTCGCTGCCGTGCCGGCCGATCTGGCGGCCCATCCGGAGGTCTTCAGAGGGGAGCCTCGCCGGACGTTCAACGGGTGTCCCGACAGGTGTCCGACCCGTCGTCATTAGTGGAAGTGCAGCGGGGGGCGAGGTCCCCGCAAGGTGTACGTTGGGAGGCATTTTGGGGACAAATGATGACATCATTAGGAAAAAAAAAAGTGTTTATCAGCCTGAATTGAACCCCTGACTACAATTTACAACCCTATCCCTGATCAAAATCATGACATAACGCCTACAACGAAACCCGACTTTTACGTCAGTGTCCCGAATGTCATTCGACAAGAAACTGTGAATGACGTTCCATCCGAGCAAATGAGAAACACTTTTGGGATGAACGGGATGGAGCCAGCTGCCAAACGTAGTTTGGAGTTGGAGCGGCCATTTGGGTCCCCCGCGCGGCAAGCCGACGCCTCGAAAACGAAGCGGCGTCGTGGACGTCAGCGCGAGAGTTCGCCGGAAGATGCTCGGCTGGCATGGCAACCGGCGGCGGACGCGGGAGCATAAATAAAGCCCCGATGAGCTGAAATAAGTGCGTCTGCACACCATGATCCGACGCCGCCGATTGCATTAGTACAAGCGTGAATTCATGTTTCTACCAGACGACGGGAATGCCGTGCCGTCTCGAGTCTCGCCGAGAACGTCCGGACGGGCAAATCGGACTTGACGGACGGACGGCGTCAACAAGATGCAAAAAAAAAAAAAAAAAAAAAGAAAGAGTGCCAAAAGATAGCCAGACGGATCCATCCATCCACCCATCCATCCGATCGATCGACTTGATCCATGAACCTGTCCGTGCGTCCTAGCCCGGCTGTTGTTGGGCACGCCACTCGTTCCCAAAAGCAAACCCTGTGGATTTTGATCGGCTCGGATCCCTCCAAAAAAACTTCCAACGTTGGAAAAGATGAAACATCAAAGCCGCCTTTTCTTTTCGGCGCGCAAGCGCTCGCCGACAAAATTGCATTCTTCCACTTTCAGACAGTCCCAACATGGGCCGTTCTGTGTTTACCGAGTCTGGATAGAGTCATCCTAAACCGCCACGGGGGGGTAAACTGTCGCGCTCAACGCTAATAACGCACGCCGTCAAATAAAAGGGGGTGGGGGGGGGGGGATCACAAGGGTCCTTCCAGCAATTGAAAGCATTTACAAAGCGAGTCTCATCAAAAATCAATTGAATTTGTACTGCGACCATTCCAAACATCTTGTTCATTTCCTCCCCACGTGGCCCTCAGGATTGCCTAAGTGCATATTTCCCGCGCGTTCTCCTCCCCCACGACGGCGGGAAGGGCTCGGGGGGTAACCGCAGCGCACAGCGAGCGTCACCACGAGCGGACGTCGGAGAGACGCCGGCATCCTGTAACACTCGGCCGGCTTCCACGTCGAGGCATCGCTCATTTCCGCCACGCTCCGTTCTCAAACTTTCCGCTTCCCCGGGGACCCCCATCTTACGCCAGTCAAACAGAACTATCGTGGCCGACCCTTGGATGCCCTACAAATAAGGATTTAAAAAAACAAAAACATTTCAACCGAAATATTCACCGAAAGGAACGACACCAAATTCACTGGAATCCTTTTTACGATTCCTCAATCGGTGCTAGCCGCTTCCACTCATGCCAGGGCAGCAAACAGAGAGCAACTCGTTTTAGGAAGAGGATTTCTCAACACAGGAGCCGAGGGAAGCGGGCGCCGTCAAACCGCGATGCGTCTCAATGGCATCGGAGCATTCGTGACGCGTCTCCCTCCTTTTCCCGCACACGCCGACGGACTTCACGTAAACATCGGCGACGAGCGTCCATTTCCCCCGCGCGCTGCTGAAAAACACGAATCAAGGCCATTTCATCGTGTCCCGCAGGAGTCCTCCTCAGACCCGAGCCGCCGGCACCCCCGCCGGACCCCGGCAGGGAAGCGGGCGCCGTCAAACCGCGATGCGTCTCAATGGCATCGGAGCATTCGTGACGCGTCTCCCTCCTTTTCCCGCACACGCCGACGGACTTCACGTAAACATCGGCGACGAGCGTCCATTTCCCCCGCGCGCTGCTGAAAAACACGAATCAAGGCCATTTCATCGTGTCCCGCAGGAGTCCTCCTCAGACCCGAGCCGCCGGCACCCCC